GGTCAAACGGTCGGTTCGGTCGGTCAGGATTTGTGACCGAACTGGTATCGGTCACGGTCATGACCGGTCATGACCGAGCCGTTGACATCCCTAGAGGTGGGACATAACTCTTGACATGTGCCGTAACATTTGACTCATACTATCATACTTGACTTATGCCATAACATTCGGTAAAAATTTGCAGAGCGATTTCTCAACTGAACTGATCCGATTAAGTTTGTAATTTTGCATAAGACGAGTAGGTATGTATATCTGTTTAATACAAAAATATTATCCTTAAAAGTGACTTCGCTGGCAAATAATTAATAATTCGAAAAATTACCATACAGTAAATCGTTTCTTAATCTCTTTCAAGATGTAAAATATTGAAAAAATCCTGTTATTTTAAAACAGCGTCTACTAAATCTGAATGATATCTTAATTAAAAAAGAATCAAAGAGGTATTTATATGATTTACAAATGGATACGGGTGCAGAAACTAAAAATTTGATCTTATACAATGGACAAGTTCTTTGAGAGTGAATACCGTTTCGAATAGAATAAAAAGTACGATTAGATGCGTTACCTCGTATTACGTAGCAAAATAAAATGAATGCTGCGACAATGACGCAGTCAACCCGAACTTTTGAGAACACCCTGAAGTCATCATAACGCCCATGGGGTAGTCAAGAATACGGTATGAAACTGGCAATATTATTTTTTTTAAATAATCCAAATCATTTGTTTTATCCTCATCCGCAAAAACTATTTTAATAAACATAGCAAGTCCCAATCTCTTCAGCAGTTCCATCGCTTTGTTCGCGTGATTGTTAAATATCTGCTCAAAAGTCCCCTTGTTAACCAATTTCTTCTTTATTATCTGCCTTAATGCATCTTGGAAGAATGGATTATTGTTATACTTTGTTGTTAACTTGTTATCTAATATAATATTTCTATTATATAAATCATGCACTGTACTTACCACAATTTTCTTTGAATATCATCTAATTCTTAAATGATATCAGGAAACCTCGATCTATTTCAATGTGGGTACATTTAAATGCTTAAATTCATTGAGTTGATTTTGTAAGAACCTACTGTTTTGTAATCTGATTTGAGATACGTTTTGTTTTTCCTTGATGTACTCGAAGATCCATCCTACTTGTAGTGGATAAACCCCTAAGTCACTATCAATGCTAGGTGTATGTACAAACGTTTGTGCTCCTTCAGAGTTCAATGAACTTAAATAAGATACATCACGATACATGAATTGTGTATACTCATCACAATTGCTACGACTTATTAGCAGTTGCCAAAATTTACCTGCCTTTCAAACTTTTCTGAAATTAAGAATAGAATTGGGCCGCTGCCAACACAGACTCGTTATAGCTCTGTTCATGTAGGCTGTGCTATAATTCTTGACTACTACTTCACTGAGTTCTGTCATTGCATGTATTTCACCCATATTATGGTATTGAGGAAAACAGTCCACTTCCAACCACTCAGGATGTCATAATACTCATGATTAAAAACGAATTGCGCATATGTAATCCCTTTATTAACATATGCTGCTTCGAGAACATCTAGAGTTATATCAATCATGTCATGACTTGTTTGCCTCTCGAACCCTTTTTGATCTATAGGACAATAAGCTGGGCAAATTGTTCTAGATACTTGCGGGAAACATTGACTGCGGTGTAAAACATATGTTGAATGTTCTTTTATGAATTTCCACTAGGAACGGTATAAGTCGGAGCCTAATGACCTCAGCCCCTGAAAAATCGGGCTAAGTATGTTGCGGATCAAATTTTTCAGGGGCGTTACAAACGAAACTGTGTTTTTGATATTTCTTTTATAAAGGCATCAAAATCGCAATTTCAGTCATCAAAGTGCATAGAAGCCGGACAATAATCGATTTAATACGGCCCGCAACTTTAATGTATTCATGGAAGTGAATAGTGACATTACATTAATTTTGTTGGGCATACTATTATATAAAAATTTATAAAATTTTATCGCACATCTCGCAGACATTATTTCGAAGACTTTGTCCATGCTTCCGAGACTGTGGACTCTAAAAATGTCATACTTTGTCCATGCTTCCGAAATAACGAATGGCATGTATAGATGTGTCAGTGGATTTGGCATAAATAGGAATGAGCTCTGTGCAATATTTTTTGTATACAGTATAGGAATTAGGAATAGAATCGCCACTCAAAAAGTTTCGTAGTAAAAATTTTGTGCTGTTAGGTTAGTGTTTGAAAATATATTTATACCAAAATTTTACAAGTAATATATTTATTAATATGCAGGTATTTCATATATTAAATTGAGATACAACCGATTTTTGACAAAACGAACGTATCCTACACATAAAATTTTAAAAAATCACGATTTAACATAAGTATATTGAGTAAAAATAACGCGTAGGGGTGCGTTATTTCGAGGCTATCAGTATAAATTATTTGCTATTATTTAAAAAAAAAATACTAATTGTATAGTAAATAGTATAATAAATACTATGATGTCTAATTCATTTATTTAAGCATTAGCATTTCTACTTATTTTAATACTTTTGATATAAACAATTCAGCATTTCTTTTTCTAGTTGTCTGTCTTCCTCATTTTCTGCATTGTTTATATTATCCTTCCTTTTTTGTATTATAAGCTCCCTATTTAATTCAATGTATTTTTCACAATATTTCGCTAGTTGAGGTGCACTACATTCTTGAGCCCATTTTAAAATCTCTACTACATTATTAACATTGACATATGACTTTGTAATAATTTTTTCTTCAATAATATCTTTAAGTGGATCTACTTGATATATATCAGATGCTTTAAGTAAATCTATCAAGAATGTTAAACATCTTGCTTCAGAATCTGAAGATTGATCTGAAGATTGATCTTCAGGTGCTTCAAACATATTTGATGTTGCGTCTTCAAACGATTGACCATAAAGCCAGCGTATAAGAACTCGGAATGTGTAAGGTAGAATATCATTAATTTCCACGGTTACTCTTTGGGATTCGGTAGACTCAATCATTTGCCCACCAAAAATTGCTCTGAAATAATTTGAAGAAGCTGCAAGAATACAGAAATATAGAGAATTAAAACCATAAACGTTATAATTTATTCTAACCTATATATTACACATATAAAGAACATAAATAATTACCAGAAAGAACATATCGGTTAGCGTAAACTTTTTCAATTCTATCATCATTATAAATGCAAAAAACAACATCGTGATGTTTAGTCTCGCTTTGCATTTCGAAGCTATTTAATAGTTCCTTAATCAATTCATCTTTCTGTGAATGTTTCCTGACATTAACATTGGATTCAACAGCTTTTAGTTCTTTTGCGCCAGCGATCTTCAATAATTCTTTATATTCTTCTAAAAATGGATGAACTTTATATAAACCTGGTAAAATATCTTCTTTGATACCAAACACTAGGTGTTGCCCTGCCAACCACTTTTCGGAATCAAATGGATCATTACTATTTAAAAATAATTTAGGTGGTTCATTACTATTTAAAATTTTTCTCAGGTAATTTATGTTGCTCTTATTTTCGTCATTATCCGATTTTAGCATATCATTTATATATGCGTATATTTCTTTCAATATGGCTAACACGTCATCTGACCTCCATGATGCAGCAGCAGTATTGGATTGAAATATATCTAAAGCAACATAACGCCAATTATCAATTATTTGTGAAAATAAAGGTTTACCCAACTTGGGGCATTCTTCCAAAAAATTTTTAGGCGGATCAACAGTTGCCTCAAATAAAGGACACTTTGTCCAACAAAGGTGCTTATATTCCTGACAACATAATGAATTCAAAGATTCGAATCCAGTGGTTTTCATAGCGTGATCATTATATGGACTACGAAAATCAGTTTCTGCTGGTACAAATTTAATACGTATTAATTCTTTCCATTGCTGAGGCGTGAAAATTAAATCCATTAGATGTTCATATAAATAATTTATTACAATTTTTGCTCGAGATCTCATGATACTAAATTGAGTATCTGGTTGTTGCAAGTCGGAATGAATTTTTCTAGCGCAGGCCATAAATGTTTGAGGATTTACACGAACATTTAGACCCATCCTTTCCAGACCTTGTAGACAGTTATTATCTCCTTGTAAATCAGGCGGCAAGAATTTATCAGAACTTTGAAAGACTGTACGAAATAGATCTTCATTTTCAGAATACAAATCTTCTGCTTTGTAAAGTTTTGTAAGTGATCGATTTGGAATTATTGGAATGGATTTGAGATAAGTTTCGATCTTGGGATCCCTTAAAGAAAGAACTTTTGTTAAGAAATCCACAAATTGCTTATTTGGTGCAATATTTGCCAAGTGAGGGCTTAAATGTTCTTTGATGTATTCAAATATTTCGATTTGTTTAGTTCCAAGTAAAACAAACATATTATAATCTTCATCTGAATTCACAGAGAAAATATTTGCAGTTTGTTGGAATGGGAAAAAAGGGGTATCCATTGGTAGCAATACACCAGATCTTGCAGAAATAAAATTATCTTTTTGCGAATGTGTTGACCAAATTGGCAATGCACCTAGGTATAGCATAACATCCTTTGCTAATAAAGGGTAAGTTAACTCAATTAGCTTAATAAAATTGCAATTCATGTATTTTTCATATTATACATAGAATTAATAAAGCTTACCCAAATTGAATTTAGATACATTTCGAATGAAAGTTCTAAACTTTTCAATTTCTTCTGAATTAAGATCCAAAAATACTTGGTCTAATGTTTTCGATGATTTTGAAACAGCTCTTTTAAGAGATTCAACCATATTTGTTGGAGTTGATAAAAGAATACATTCTCTAATAATTGCAAGATTTGGGTTAAGCCCACTATTTTGAGGAGGAGGCTTACACGTAAACCTAACTCCTAATTTTGATAATATCGGAATCATTGGTCCATAATCATACAAATCTGAAGACAAGAATAGTAAAGGATCATAAGGATTAAATAAGACGAGTTTTTTTTCTGGCCATTCCATCGGTAATAATGGAAACTTTGAAAATTCTAAGAAATCGTATTGTGAATTTTCAAACATAAATATCGCAAGAATCTGATCTATCCATTGTTGGTTCGGATGTGTATCTTCGGAAGGATTCCAACATATTTCTTGATTACAAGGTAACTCGTATTCTAACAAGTCAAGAACTGCTGACGCATCAAGATCAAGAAATTTGATTCCATTGACATGACCAAAAGCTTCATCTTTAAATATTGTGTCAAGTTCTGGTGGAAGTTCAGCAACAAATTTTGATTTCTCCACATTTTTAAATAAGTTTCGCATATGTAATGACGATATATAATAATTTTGATGACCAAATATCCCAACAGTTCCATCAAGTAATGGTACTAAAGCAAGTCCACGGAAATTCATGACTGTTTCATTACCATTTTGAAAAATGAACTTTAATAAATTAATAACCAAGTTGTGAGGCAGGTCAAAAGAATCCCAGACGTTAGGGCTTTCATAAAAAACATTACAAATCAATTGAACAGTAATAGTTTTGGTCATCGGAAGTGATTTCATAAGATCACTCATTTGATTTTCGGTTAATTTTATGGTTGGTATATTTAAAGTCGCGAGAACATTGGCAATATTTTTAAGCTTTGGTACTGCAAAATAAGCATTTTTATGAGAGGTAAACATCCCTCCGTTTGCAAGTGTCCAAAAAATCTTATGATCTCCGCGTTCCAATTGTTGCATTAATTTTTTTCCGTAGTCTACGAATATATGATTTGTTTCTCTAACAATTGGCCATAGTATTGTGGATGTAATTGGTTCAAACTGTTTCTTTGGCGACTGTAAGAATCGTTTATGATCTAAAAATGCTATTTGTTCCAAAAGCTTCGCGTGTAAAGGTGGAAGAACATTGAATAAAATATATTCATTCCATTTGTTTTCTGGAGTTTCCAAAAGCATAAAATCACTATCATATTGCAAAAGACTTTTCCTGTCACTAGAAAGAGCGAACGTTCCGTTGAGATGAACATTCAAACCCGTAGGGATTGGTAAAGATAAATACGAATACATTCTACCCCTAAGCTGGGGTGGATTTGGGAACTAATTTTAAATTATTTATTAGTAATAAAGTTATGCGTATTATATATTCACCAATAATCTGAAATATTAATTACCGGTTTTGTTTTTAGTCTTTCTAATGGTTCATCAGATTGTGCAAGTAGTGAAGCAACGCCACCTCTTGGCTAATGTTAAAAATATTAATCATACAAACGCGTTATAAATTTACAAACATGCCACATTAAATATACTCACTAAAAGTTTGTTCTTGAGAGAAAATGACTCTAAATCAAAATTTGCAACTATATCAATTCCACCAGAACAAATAAGCCAAATTTCAGAATTCGCAGTAAGACCCCTTAATCTATTTGTTTCAATTTCGAGTTGAAATAACCGTGATTCAGAAGAAAGTAAAAGTCGTTGTTCGCGGATGAGATCCGTTAAATTCTCGATCTTGGATTCCCAAAATACTTTTCGACCTTGGTCAGGATTTTGATATATGAAATGTAAACCACAACTTTCTATATTCCTTAAAAATAACATCTCGTGACTTCCTTGAATTCTACTGAAAATATCGACCAATTCACGAAGAGACGGAGCTTTATCTGATATTTCACTTTGTACTGCCAACGATCTTGTTCTTAAAGGTATTCTAAATAAGGTTCCATTAAACCTTTTACTAAAATCGCACCCTTCAATATTCATATAGGGCTTGGCTTGGTCAGAATATCTTTTTTTGAAATCCTTTTCGATAAAATTAATCCTTAGACCACGAGGCTTTCTTGGAGGGTTACCAGTCTTGGGTAACCATTTTTGCGATGGATCTAGGAAAGTGATATATTCACCACTTACAAAACTTATTACATCCGATATATTATAACAACAATTTAATCCTATTCCAAATCTTCCAATCTTAGTATTATCTTTTGATTTTTCACTTCTTCCTAAATTTCTAAGTGATTTAAAATCTTTTTCAGTGAATTCCGAATCATTATATACCCATAATGCAGGTCCTTGCCATAGGTCCATTTCTGGAGTTAATAATGAAGTATCAGGACTCCGTGTGTTAAAGGATCTATCATCTGCTATTAGATAGAATTTTCTAGATCCAGCATCGTCCGCATTCTGTATAGAATATTTCATATAAATAATTTATTGCTTCACAAAAACAATAACCAATAAATTTTATCGCTTGCCTGTAAAAATTCTCTAAATAACGAAGGGAGTGGGTAATCCTAAATATTATCAAAGGTTAAATATTTGATTAAAAATTAGTTGTAGACTATATAATTTTAAAATTAACGAATTACATTAATGATATTGCGAATTCTGGCAGTCAATGGTTCATTTTGTTCATAATCTTCAAGATCATCATTAAAATCATCAGCTGTGAAAATATTACGATGAGATCGTACTTATATAATCCAATAAGGTATTTATGAAGTATCACAACTACTAAATCTGGAGTACTTACATTCATCAAGTAATTTTTCGGAAAGCATCCGCATTCCAAGTGATTTAGCTACACCAAACGAAATCAAAGAATGTGCTATTTTAAAATCATTTTTCCTTTCTTCGTCCAATCTATTATTCAACATATCATCATACAAAATTTCACTTAATTCAACTAATTGACAATCGGTACTTGGAATAAATAATTTTTCTAATCCATAATCATCCTTTAAATTGTTCATGGAATGGCCATAATTGAACCTAGTTGGTTTACTAATTCTTTGTGATATATGATCAACAAGCATAACAATATTACGTATTTCATCAATTGTCAACGTCTTTGTAGCATCCCAATGTTGATATTCCTTAGCCATCTCGATAAAATCTGAAATTCCAATTTTTTGTCTAACACCCATTTCTTCAAACATCCTTTTGAATTTAGTTATATATTCACATGGAAGTTGAACGATTTCTAAAGCGCCACTTGTAAAACCTTTCTCAAACTCGAACACGACATTAACAGAAGAATAAAATTTTCCATTACATAAAATCCATTTTCCAGACCCTTCCTTAAGTCCGTTTTTGAACTTTAATATTGATTCATAATCATTCAATGTTAATAATTCATTTAGATATACATATATTGCGTTGCATATCATTGGTATATCATGTTGAATTTGAGAAGTGGAAGACTGTTGCTCTTGATGTAGTTGTATACAAGAATTAAGTTGCTTGAGAACAACATCCACAGATGGAAATGAATTCCATTGTAAATTCCTGATAAATAGGTCATTTTTTGGAGAATATTCTACAAATGGAAGAACTAGGCCAACTAAATTTTTATTCTTTTCACTTCGACAATCCAATGAATTCAAAAACAATTTTTTTCCCAGACGATCTACGGCAGGAATCCAGTCTTTACTCATTAAAGTAAGTGCTAGCTGTGATGCTTCTTGAGAGATAGAACCATTTGATTCTTGAGAATCAAAACTGCCAGAGAGTATAAGTTCTTCATAATTTTCATCAATATACTGAAATAATTTTATCGATTTCTGATAGATCAATTCAATTAGGTTGTCACTCTCTCTTCGTCTGGTAAAAACAGCTATTCGTTGAACGATATCACTCGGAGAAAGACGTGACTTGATTCCTAACTCTTTCAACAATGGTAAATATCTATATGAGAAATCTGAGGAGAAAATTCCAGCAGGAAACACGCTTTCATCATCAAAAAATAACTCAGAAATGTCTTTATTCTCAGGATCATATAGGCAACACGGCTTTCTCAAATCGTAATTGTCGGCCATAGACTGATTATTTTTCGACATTAGAATTGTACCAGCTGGAACAAATTCTATATTATTTAATTCGTTTTTTAACTTTACATCTCTTGAAATGAGTTGTGGAAGACGTTCAAACATTTTTGTGATCATTATTTTAAAAATATCAGGAGGCTGAGATCTTAAATATGGGATCACAAATTTACGCCAATAATCCTCTTGCTTTAATCTTGGAACCATGAGAATGGTTTCAAGAAGGAATCTTAAATTTGTAGTAGTAACGGCAAGAAAACCAACAGTATGTGGAGCAATTATATAACCATAGTCCATCTCATCTTCACGAGGAAGCAAATACCATGACCTCGCTTCAGGTTTTAGAGATATAAATTCATTTTCTTTACCAACTTCAGTAAAGATTGGAAAATGTTTGATTACATCAATAAGATCAGGCGAATTACTAATGCCGGAACTCCTATGGCATAAATAATTAATCAAATCAGCCGTTTCTTGAGAACTCAAATTTTGCTGTACATTTTTTGGAAAATTTTCATTGACAAGAAAGCATCTCAAAACACCGGCAACATTTTTAAGTTTAGTAACAAATTCTGATAACCTAATTATTTAAAGTAAATGTATATATATTTTATTATTTATTAATTATTAATAACCATATCGATATGAACAAATTATATGAAATTTAAATGCTCACTTTAACCAACCCGAGAAATCATGTTTCTCAAAATCTTTATCAACAAATGTGGCGCCAAATTTTTCAATAATAGGTTGTACTTTGATATCAACATCATCAATACCATTCCAAAAACATTTTTGGGCAGTTTGCAATTTTCTAAGAGTTCCATGGTTTGTGGGTAATAAATGAATAGAACGAAATTCATTTAAATCACAACGCGCCTTGTATAAGTTGGACCAAATCCTATGGATCCATTCAATATGATCTTTAGAATCTATCTCATCATCAGTAGCCGAATATCCTTTCAAAGATTTTATAATCATTTCGGACATTACGGACGGAGTCATAATTTTTATATTGAGACACCATTCACTTTTTGCACCTTCGTAAAGATGAATCCATAAATCACTAGGAATATCTTGGTCGATTAATTGATTTAGACAATTAGCAAAGATCACTCTTTCATCATTATTTTCAGAATTTTGCTTCTTGTCAGGACCGATATACGCAATACGTTTAGTTGCACGGGAAATGGTTCCAAAAGTACCATCAGCTAACGGTATCATCTCAAGTCCATCAAAATCAGCGTATTTTTTATCTTTAAGTATATACGTGAATAATAGTAATTTATCTTGTCTGGATAGATGATCCTTCCACCTTGAATTATTTCTATGAAGATATTCACGAATTATTCGCGGTGAAAAGTATTTCATAGAATATTTATGCCGAGATCGATCCAATGCTTCTTTCACATCAGATTTGACAAAAATAACAGGAAATCCTATTCTTTCCATAATATTTGAAATTTCTGGACGCGCAGAATCATCAGGAAAATAACCATTGGAGATAGATAATAAACGAAAATTGAAATTATTGGACGCAGGAATTTTTTTATAAGTTTCAGAGATGCCAAAGATGCAACCAGGTTCGTATAACTTTAATGGGCCTTGAAATATATTAACATCCTGATTAAGATTTTCAACTATATTAAGTAACAGATCTTTGCAAAGATTGATAGAAACGCCAGACGTTGAATTTTGAATTATAGGCCAAAAGTCGTAATATTCTTGAGATTTGATGAATGAAATCTCGGAAGGAAGAGAGATTAAGAATTTGATCCATGCTTGTGGAAGGACAACACCGAAAAGATATTGATTCCATGAAACTTTTAAGTGAGCTAACGCATTATCAGCCTAAAGATAGCAGGTAATAAGCAATAACAAAATTGCAAAATTAACAAAATAAATAATTTGAAGAATAAAATAAGAGTTTTTAACACGTGATTAAGCTTACTAAATCTTCATTATCCGAGGCAGTCCAAAGAGAACGCCTATTTGCGCTAACCTTTTGAAGTTAATTAAAGCAAAGGTTTAAATTAATTAAATCAATTAAGCAAAGGTTTAAATTAAATTAAATCAATTAAGCAAAGGTTTAAATTAATTAAATCAATTAAGCAAAGGTTTAATTAATCAATCAAAGGTTTAAATTAGTTTAGCAAAGGTTTAAAAAATTTTGGCAATAACTTTTGCTATAAACTTGCAAAAAAAAGACATACCGCAAAATGACCATGCACAGAGGCGCGAAATGGCATTGATATAGGTAGAGGAAGAAAGCAAAATAATCTCCCAAAAGTTGTATAGTCATCGAATTGAAGAGCAATGCCAACATTTGGAATAAATTTGTAATTCTTTCTTGAATTACTTTGAAACTTTTCTTCTACATCATTCAAATCACCAAGCCAATTAAATATGATCCACTGACTAACTTTTACTTTTTCAATACCCATTTTTTGGTGGAAGATAGCAACATATAGAGACTCCAAAGAAGTAATGTTAGTGTGCTTTCTAGTTGATAAAGAATTCATGATAGGACCTATATTTTGTTCGATTAATTCTCTTTTTAGACGAATTTTATCAGCATTTGCAAGTTCAATTTGGTAAAGTAACTTTGGTTCCGACTCATTTACACCAAGTTCATAAAATTTAATACACTCAATATGCTTCAAAAACAAAAGACAATTTATACTCTCGTTTTCATAAAACTTGTGAAACATTTCCAAGATTTGATCAGGGTTATATTCCTTATCAGATATTTTTGATTCAATGGCATCTTGCGTAGTGCGTAAAGGATAACGGAATATAGTGCCTTTAAAACTTTGATCACGTGGAATATGATAAAGAGAAAAAGGGGAAAACTGATCTGGATAATTGATAGCCATTTTATTTTGAACAAAGTCAAATTTGATACCACCATCGAAATACCGCTCATGAGGCTAGGGAAGAAGATTAATTTTGAACAGTAATTAATTATATTATTTATTAAGAACTTTAATTAACGAAAAAGTTAAGATCTGACACCTACATCGAGGATCACATATTTATCGCCAGTTATAAAACTAGGTAAATCTGTTATATGGTATATAGAATTAAAACCTAGACCCATCGCTGTTTATTGAATAAAAAGAATAAGTCAACATAATGTCCTAATGTACACATACAATTCTAACAACAATATCAATATATAGTATACTTACCACCAATTTTATCGAATTGATCGCACTTTTCACTATCGGCCAATTTCAACAGTGACTTGAAATCACGTTCTTCAAAAATTGTATCATTTTTTGACAAAAGAGCAGGTCCTTGGTACCTATCCAATTTCAAATTTGTAGCATTATAATCCTTTAATATTGGCTCTAATAAACTCTTTGTCGGGTAGGTATTTCGATCTATAAAGACAAAAATTGATAGTTATTATTGAATAAAATAGCCTTAAAGCAAAAATAGGATGAGAATAAAAGAGAAAAAAGTTGAGAAGGTATCATACCAAGGATGAATGATTGACATCTACTTTTCGCATCATCAGAATTTTGAATAATTTCTCGAAGAATTTGAGAACCATCCGGATATTCCTCAAGAATCTTACTCAGTCGATTAGTATAAGATTCACCGGGCTTAAAAATTTCACCTTGAATATCTATTCGAGACATTAACTTCAATATTTGTTTATATTTTGAAGGAGCAATTATTATTTGATATAAGAAACGTTTTATTCAAAATTCGGAAGCTGTGCTCCGGTAACGGAGTCACGAATTAAGCTATGGCTAGGATCTGCAAACCAAAAAGCCATAGTTTCTTACACAATGTGACATAAATAATGGTTTATAAGGCGTACCACTCCGACTCAATGTCAACTTTCTGTCATAATGACTGAGTCATTCATATTTAAGACAATAAAAAAGAAACAATGATTTTGGCATTGGCTGAGATTTAGTTAAAATCAAGATTATAAACAGAAATCTTAATCAAGTAATATTGGTATTAGACGATCGTTACCTGAACTTTAAAGCTGTTTTGATGACTAGAAAATGCCCTCGAAACTTTAAATGGCAATATCTTGTATTTGTGTTTAGATGATCATTAAATACGATCCTTTAGTAGTCATCTCATGATTACAACAGTTTGAAATTCCTAAACCATGAAACTTGAATAAGCGATGAATTTAAAATATTTTTATTGGTACAGTACTGTATTTTCAACTATATCGATATGTGTCGATCTATAGTCGCTGAATGGATAATCTAATATATAATATATATCGTGCATCAATTCTATTGGACACGTGAAAATTTGCCAATGTACATTTAAATGTTGTGTAAACATTTTATTTAATTGCATGTAGGTTTATATTACTATCTAAATAATTGTTACACTATTGTTATTCTTGCGTAAAGAATAAAAAAGCTCATAAATTTAGAGTTTAGATAAAATAAGTATGTACATACACTGAATAGTGATAATTTTGAGTTTTTAAGATTTTTTAAATTGCTGTATGTCGATAATAATCATACGCCTAATTTCTAGAAATGTATCTGAATCATGGCGCATAATCTAATCACACTAAATCATTTATAAACTTTTGGCAATTATAAATATAATTGGATGAGTTAGTGCAATGACAGGCGGAATTCGAAGTGCAGAGTACTGTACAGAAATTCATTTTGATTGGCTAATATTCTTATTATTAGTAAAGTATGGTTACACGACTCATTACGGCACATTTATTAAAATTTGCTTACGTACTAAATCAATGTAATTTTGACCAATCAAAATTTAAGATCAGTTGTTTTTAAATAAAATAATTGCGTGTAAAATTAAATCCAAGAAACTGCACAACTATTAGTAGAATTTCATGAGAAACATTTTTAATTAGGGCGCAGAAGTGGTTTCCTAATAAAAATTTAGAGTTATTCCGGTTTTAGTTTTTTTGTAAAAAAGTGAGTTCGTTCGATTTTTATTCTAAAATTATGTTGATAAATTACAGAGGGTGAATAGTTTTGTGGGAGAGTAAGGGAGTTATAAAAGTATCAGCCTCTAAATTTAAATATTAGTTGCTATATTACAGGATATACGATTTCTAATTAATTAATATCTCAAAATTTTGATTATAAATTATTTTTAGGTTTCTAACAAAAAAAATTTCTTGCAAAATTTTTGTATAAATCATACTCTACCTGGGCACAGTAAACTAAGAAACTGAATAGTCAGAAGTTCACTTGGAAATTTCTGAGTAAAAGGTAACATAAATTTTTGACAGTATAGTTGAATTGATAAAAGTTTTAAAAGACCTTTTGAAGGGATAAGTGGATGAATCATATAAGCGAAGCATATACATCAACTAGGTTGTTGAATTTGCTAGAAGAAAATAATATAAAGACATACAAATTGAGTCATTTGGATTGATAGTTTGAAAGAAAAATTATGTAAGATATAACATAGTAAAGATAAATATTAGGGTTTTAGTGAACTTTATAAGGATAAAAAAATAGTGTAATGTAGCAGTTTAATAGGTAATACTTATAATTACAAGTATTAGTAATTATAATATGGTACATAAAATTAGATTAGTTGTATATAGAACATAAAAGGTTTTAATAAATTTTTTGTCAAGAATAAAATAATTCTAAGAGTAATGATATATATCAGATATTTTAAATAAGTATAAAACAAGATAAATTATATATATAAAAGATTTAAATAAAACCTATTTTAATTTTTTTATAAATATAAAATCAAAGATTATTATATATTAAAATTATACAGAAATATTACAAATCTAAAATGAATATACCAAATTTTTTTATTTTTAATATAAAAGATTTTTTATAACTTAATGCTAAAAAAATAAAAAAAATTTAACTTAGAATATATAATATTATTTAATATTATTTATTATATAATTATAAAATAAAGACAAGTTATAATATATTTACAAATAATATAATCTGATTAGTAAAAATTAGTTGTATTTACAAATAATATAATTTGGTTAGTAAAAAAAATAGTTGTATTTACAAATAATATAATTTGGTTAGCAAAAAATATATAGTTGTATTTACAAATAATATAATTTAATTAGCAAAAAGCAAATATTAACTAAAACTAATAATTAAAATTGCTAAATTTAATAATATTTAAATAAATAAACAAATTTATTATGAATTTAAGAATAAAAAATATATAAATTAATTTTTATATATTTTTTATAATACAATGTAATTTTTACAAAAAATAAAACTTTGCTGTTAATAAAACTTTTTATTATTACAATTAATTTTTATCAAATTAATTATTTTGAAATCAACTTTTTATAATAATTACTTAAACAACTAGTATTAAAACAGTTTAAAGAATTAAGTTTCTAAGTAAACAACACATTTGATTCTATATCAATATATAAAGCAGATTGTTATTAATAAACCAGAAATACATAAAAAACCAATATGTAGGCAACTCTTTTGGTAATTTATGTCAAGGTTAAATCTTTTCTTTAAATAGACTCCTTATCATTTTTAGTATCCAAATTAGAAGGGCATTCCAGAACTAATAAAAAAAACTCTGTTTAAAAATTGTAATAAATTTAAAAAACAAAACAAATAACTAGAAACATCTTCTTGATTTTGTTTTTATATTATATATACTTACCTTTCTTTTTTTTCTATATTTTTTTTATACAAAAGTAAGAATTTTGGCTTTCTACTACAAAAGATTAGCATTGTTTATTACTTTCTTTTTCAAATAATTATATATTGTGACATAATATAATAAAAACACAACAATCATATGTATAGTCTAATATATAATATAATAAAGAAAATTTTAAATTGAAGTATTATAATAAAATTAGAAATATATAATAATTTTTAAATCATATATATATAATTTTTACTCTTTTAGTATAGCTTAAATTATAGTTAGATTTTTAGTATAGGTTAAAGTATTAGTGACTTTATTAGAATAGTTATAAATAGATATGCTTTTTAACATTTTAGTTTTTTCTTTTTTTTTTATAACTCTTTTAGTTTAGTTTAGATTAGTTTTTTATTTTTTTTACTTCATTACAAGAAAGTATTATTAGATTAGTAATATTTTATTATAGAATAATAATTAAAAATAATCTTTTAAGTAGTAACTTTTTACTATCTGATATAGTAGATTACTTCTAGATACTTTAAAAGTAGCAGAAAAGTTAAACCTTGGAAATTAAATGTATAGTATTGTCAGTAGTATTAATATTTTCTTAATAAAATAATCATTAGTATAGTTATCTAAGTGAAAAAAAATATTATTAAATTTTTATATAATATAAAATAAGATATATTCTTTATAATAATAAAATTTTTAATAAATAAAATATTTAAAGATGTATATATATTGCAAAATTCTTTGTAGTAACTTTAAATTTTTTATAGTTAGCCAAGATTATTAATCTTGATTAGTTCAAATTATATAATCTTTATATAATTTATATAAACAATTTATGATATCTAATTTTTAAATATATATATCTTGATTAAGATTTATCTAATTTTAATAAATTTATTATTATTAGAATTAGTAAACTTATTTTATAATTTTTAATTAATATTTAAAATGTTGTTTATTTAAAAAAATATTTTTTTATTTTTAATTAAATAAAAATTTATTATAAGTTTTATATAAATCTGAAAAATGTATCCTTTACTTTTAAAAAAATTATACTTAGTAATAAATAAATATATAAAAAAGATATAAACAAAATAAAATAATTTTTAGAAATTTGAATAAATAATAATCTAAAATATATTAATAAAAACAGATTTAAAAAAATAATATAATTGACAATAAGAAACTAATGACAAAAAATAATTATAATGTAGATAACTTATATAAGCAATATATATATATAATACTAAAATTTAGTTATATATTACAAATAACAAAACATCAAAAAAATAAAAATTAATAATATAAAGAGCTTTTTATTAAAATTAGCCAAAAGTAAATTTAAAATTATAAGAACAATAAATAAATATAATTTTATATAAAAACTTAAATAACTACAATTTACTTTAAAATTAATTAATAATAAAACAAAATATTAATTTATATATATACTTAAATTTATTATAATTAAAAAATTCTATATACAAAAACTCTTTCTGCAAATCTATTATACAAAAATTAACTAAAAAATTTATCTGTCTAAAAATACTTATAACTATTTATTTTACTAAGAAAATCTGTTCTAAGCTCTTAAGTATACTTGTTCAGTTCATTATTTTACATATAATCTGCAAATATTAAGCTTCTATATTTTAAATTCATTAAGTAAACTATACTGATAGTTTTTGGCCTCCAGATTATAACTTTTAATTATTTCACAGTTTCTACTACTCTAATCTGTTCTATATTCTTAATTAAAGTTATAGTACACAATCATCTGATTAAAACAAGCTTTAAATGAAGATTTTTAACCCAGTATTAGTCAAACTATAACCAAATTCAATATTTATTTTCTTGTAAAACTTTTTTTCTACTTTTTGTTCCTACCCTATTCCCTTTTTTTCTTACACGTTTTTGTGTAATTATATAATTATTTCCAAATCCATATCTTATTAATTTACATCACATCTATAACCAACCTATTTATAGGCATTCATTCAATACA